TTTATATTGATCCGACCTATAATATTTTTTAAATCGCCACTATTTACGTATGTAAAAAAAGTTATAATTATATATAAAAAAATAACATCCAAAAAGGTTTGAACATTCAAAACAATAATGTTTTTAGTAAATTATGTATTTGGTTATTTTAACTATCACTTTGGTTTCATTTTGGTTACCTAAGTATTTTTTAAATCAAACCTAAAGTTATGTTTTGATATTCACTATTAAAAAATAAACAAAACTACTAATGAGATATTTTTTTTTATTTTTTCAATGATGACGTGATATTACTTTGTAGTGAGTGGTAACACATCACCATTTCCTCTACTTTTTTAACTGCAAATGACTAAATTAGAATCAAAATATAGTTTTAGGAATAATTTTTTAAAACAGAACAAAATGATAGTTGGTGATTAAATATGTAGTTTACCCTTAATTTTATTATTAAAATAATTATTATATTAGTATTTTTTAAAATCAAATTTCTAATATACATTTTTAATTGTTGGATAATAAATCGAATCTTACCATTTAATTTTAGGAATCTTTATCTAAGATTCAAGCTAAAATGTTTGATTAAACAGATAAGTCCATGTTTTCATAATTTAATTTTCAATAGAAACTATATTGCCCAAAAAAATCACAAAAAATAATTTATTAAATCATAAAAAATAATTTATTAAATCATAAAAAAGTAATTTATTATACTATTCTATAAAATGATTATAGAAGAATATTTTTAAAATTATAAAAATTAATTTATTAGATTATTTAAAACAAGACGATTAAAAGAAGGTTTTGATAAAAAAAATATGCTTGTTTAATTTCAATCACATAAGAGGCGCAAATTGGCAAGAATAACATGCAATAGCTGAGTAGACCTGTCAAATTGTTGAGTCGTGTTTGGTTCGGCTCAATATTTGTTTATATTTTTTGGATTGATTTTAGATTAGGTTAATTTGAGGTTATTTTAAATTGAATTTAAATTGAATTATTATTTTTGACGGAAGCTCCGATATTGGTCAAACTAGAATCTGGCAAAGATTATGTGGTTTTTAGTGACACATCCCATAGTGGTTTGGGATTAGTATTGATGCAAGAAGGTAAAGTGGTGGCATACGAATCGAGGCAATTGAAACTGCATGAGAAAATTTATCCGACGTATGGCTTGGAGTTAGCTGTTGTAGTGTTTGCTATGAAGATATGGTGTCACTACTTATATGGTGAGTCTTGCTACATCTACACGAACTATAAGAGTTTGAAGTATCTGATGAATCAGAAAGAGCTAAATATGAGACAGTGAAGATGGATTGAGTTTCTCAAGGATTATGATGTAGTAATCGATTTTCACCCTGGAAAAGCAAATGTGGTAGCTGATGCTCTGAGTAAGAAGATGTTTTCAGCTTTGCGAGCTTTATATGCGAGATTGTCTTTAAGTGGTGATGGTACCTTACTTGCGGAGTTAAAACTTAAGCCAACGTTACTTGATCGAATTGAATATTTACAAGGTAAAGATGATAAATATTTGAAAAGAATGAAGCAAGTGAAAATTGAAAAGAGTAAGGGTTCCACCATTTTAATACAAATAAAAGTTTAAATTTTCCACTATTTTTTTTAAGAATCAAGGATTTAACAAGTTACTGTGACACCTCGGACTCGTATCCAGGTCGGGTACGGGTTAGGGGTGTTATAGATACTTGCAAGAGCGACGCCAAGAGTTTAAGAATTTAGAGCAGTGTAATATGTCTGTTATGGATTATGAGATTGAATTTATCAAGTTGAGTTGCTATGCTACTAAACTTATTGACATTGAATTAGATCGGTGCTTAAGGTTTGAGAATGGACTCATGTAAGAGATCAAGAGTCGTGTTCCTACCCACCGGGAGAGGAACTTTGATACCTTAGTTGAGATAGCCAAGACCACTGAGGAGATAGAGCGAGTAGGTATGAAACACATGAGAGATATAAATCAAGACCGAGATCAATTCAGGAGACTTTCTAGTTCTGTTGACTCTTCTGCACGCCACAACAAGGGAGGCAGGGGTGAGTCTTTTCAGAGAGGCGGTGCGAGTGTCAGGCTTGTGGCGTCAAGTTCGTCAGTTGTGACGCCTTCTATTTAGGGTGGTTCTTCTAGATCACAGCCTTTGTCGTCATGTGAGCACTGTGGGAGACATCATTTTGGTGAATGCAGAAAGAAGTTGGGTACCTATTTTAGATGTGGTTTTGGTGACCATCTCCTAAGGGATTGTCCAAAGCTAGCTTCTACAGTTCAGATACCAACTCATACTTCTGCTCGTACTTAAAGTAAGTTCAGACTCCAGTAGGAGATCATAGTCAGGAGAGAGCATCAGGATCAGCTAGTAAAGGCTGAGCTTCTCAGAGTAGGGGTCCAGCCAAATCTGAGGCTAGACAACTTTCGTTTGTTTACGCTGCTAGACGTCAACAGGATCGCAATGAGCCTGATGTGATTGCATGTACTGTTACTATTCATTCAGTTCCCTACTTTGCATTATTTGATAATGGTTATACCCATTACTATGTGTCACATTTCATTTATGAGGGTCTTAATATCCCGGTTGAGAATACTAGAGTTCAGTGATAGTTTAGAGTCATGAAGGTCAGTCCATAGAGTTAGGTCGATGGAGGCTCAGTTTCCGTATCTATTTACATCAGGTAAAGTTTGAGGACAAAATTTTTTTAAGAGGGAGAATTGTCATACCCCAAATTAGAGTCTAATTTTTTTGGAGAACTAAATTGAAAATTTAATTAAATTCGAGGATTAAAATGACGTTTTCATTAAATTATACCAAAATCAGAAAGTAACCAAAGCATGAAGACCTATAGTGTAATTTACTTATTTTCCTTTTTGATTGGGTTTAAAACCCCAAAATTTATCTATTTCCATTTTTGGAAACTCATTTTCTCTCTTTTCAAACCTTCCATTTTTAGCCAAGAAACTTTGATTGTCGTTTGACTTTCGACCGTTGCTCTGTGATCGACACCGTCCGTACCATGGTGTTCCTTAAATCGTCTTGATTTCAACGGTGGTTGCCTCGTTGTTGTCGTCAACGTGTGGAGGGGTGAGTGAAAGCAAATTTCTGACATTATCAAATCAAGCTCTCTGTCGTTTACCGCTGTGAACTGAGCTTGGTAAGCGTCTTAAAATCCCTTAAAAACCATATGTGAATTTTTCTGCTATTCTTCCAACCCCGGATGGCCTCACACTCGCCCCCATGCTCTACCACTATGAGTGGGGAAGTCCCACCACCTGGTGGGTTTCTAGAAACGGCTCGACCCGACCCGATCCAACCCGAACCGAATCGGCCAGCCGTTACCGTTGACTGTTGATAGTTAATCAACGTTAACTTTTTTAAAAACCTCTAGCTTGTCATTTTCAACATCCTGAGTTCGATTTTGTGATTTGTTTTGCCAAATTCTGACCCCAAAACCCTTAACTGAGTCCGTTAATCCGAAAATGCTTAGTATTTTTATCATTTTTGCTTATTTATTTGAGATTTGGTTATGGAATTGATTTGAGAAATTATTTTTATAAAGGTACTCGTGTTTCACCCGACGGAGGGTCGGTTAGATCTGGTGCTTCCTGTTCATCAGATCCGCTCGGTTCGCCTTCTTTGAGAGTTACTCGTAGGTTTTTGTAAATTGTTTAAATATAAGTTATTATTATTCATATTAGGATTCCGATATTGATTTTTTGATTTGTAGGATTTGGCGCTGGCGCTGATTGTGATCTGCAGACTCAGTAGTAGGATTTCCTATCAGACTACTCAGACTGACACATGTGTGTTTCCTGATGGTGTTACATTACTGTTTTAAACTATTCATCTGAAATGCTTTAGATTTTTGATGATATTGAATATTTTTACAACACGATACCTGATTTTTTAATATTATTTATCTGATATATGATTTACTGTATATTTCTGATATGATCTATGATTACTGTACTTTTTTATTTGATTTCTAAGTCTGAAATATTTTCATGTTTTAATGGATTAAACTACCGTTTTCACTCGAATACATATATGTTTATTACTGTCATTAAGGGTATTATTAGAGGAAGTATCTTAGGCTTAGTCTATGACCAATAAGATTTTACCGCAGACTCCTCTGCTTTATGCACAGGGTAAGTCCTTACTGCATGTTCTTATGCTATATGTATAAGGTCCTTCCAGGTGTACAAGTGGGTGTATGGTTATGGGGAACCTACACATTCTTGTGATCAGATGGGGTAGTATTCATATTTTTAAAACTTGTCTGATGAACTAATTTTACTGAAGTATTTTATGTGTATATTTGTATACACCTTAAGGAACACATTGTGTTTTTTATGTCATTCTATAATTTTAACTTTTTCATATAGTAGCAGACCGTATGCTAGCAAACTTGTCATCAAGAGGACTGACTGCTCCTATTTTGTATCACTGTATATCTCTATATGTCTTTTTATTATACTTTGGTGCCATATGTTTTTGCTACCATCTCGATATATATGTATTACCAGTATTTTGTTTTATATGGTTTTCTGATATATGTATATATATGTGTTTTATATGGTTTTATGATATATATATATATATATATATATATATTTATATTTATCGTATAAACATTTCTTATGAAAATTTTATATTATATTATCATATGAATTTTAAAATTATTTTAAATATGAAAATAATTTCTAAATACGATATGTAATCACTTAAATTTGGGCATAACTTAAAAGGGGTTATATATATATATATATATATATATGTAAGGCGGCCTAGTGGTGAGTGACTTGTAAACAATGTGTGGAGTATAAAAAGGCCCACCGTTTCTCCTATATTCTTATACTATGCACCCGTGTTCTAATGCTTCCAAAAGAACACAATTAACTACTGCCAGCTAAGCCCAAGAAGGCTAGTTGAAATCAATTTATAAAACAAAAACCATAAACAAACAAAGAAAATAACAACAATTTTCGACTTTCTCTGGAAATCCTTGGCTACGCTTAGCATTTGTTTCTTTTCTCTGATCTAGCTTCTTGGCGGTGGAGGATGAAGATATTCATTTTTTTTCATTTTTATTTTATTTATATTATTATTATTATAATTATTATTATTATAATTATAATTATAATTATTATTATTATTAATATATTATTTAATATTACAAGCCCAAATGGAAGCCCAATTACAAACAGTGGCCCAGATCCAAAATCCTACAGTAAACCCTAAACCCAATTTAGGGTTTGTATCATCCAGCTACCGCCGCTCAAGCTTCAACCGTTGGATCTGGTTTGATCCAACGGTCACAGTTTGCCAGAGGAAACCCTAGGGTATCAATACCCTAGGGACACGTCCCAGCGCCGCCGTAGATTCCAGAAGACCACGCGGCGCTGCTTCAGTCTCGCCGACACTCCAGCCGCACACGTCTTTCCCAAATGGTGAGTCACCACTGGAAGTCCGGTGACTCACCGAAGAACCCCTTTCAGACCGGTCTGAGACGAACACCGGTGATGGCTATAAAGCCATCACCCCATCTGCGAGCAAGAAAAGGAGAACAACAGAGAGAGATACAGAGAAACAAGATACTAAAAAAAAATATACCAACGATCTCAACAACAACTCAGCAAAGAAACAGAAAAGAAAGAAAAGAAAAAGAAAGAAGAGAAACTTATTGTCGTCGGAGAACCCCAACCGTCGCCGGATACAACAAAAACCGAAGGTACTTTTGTAGATTTGCTCCGATTATGAGCTTTTTAAGGAAAGAGAGCACCGAAAACATCCTTAGGACGTTCCGATCTATTTAACGGTGTAAAAATAAAATTTTCCGGCCACCGGATGCGGTGGCCGGCGGTGACAGTCACGGCGGCACACGGTTGCCGTCCGGTGACCGGCTTCCCTCCGATGAGGGAAGCTAGAGAGAGGGCAGAGAGAAATTTGTTCTCTCTCTGTTAGAGAGAGAACAGAAATAAGGAAATGAGAAGCTGGCCCGTAGGGCCAGCCGGTTTAGGTTATAAATACCCTCTCCCGAACGACGTCGTTTTGGGGAGGGTATTTCTGTAATTTCACAAAGGGTAAACCCCGTCCGAAGCCATTCCAATTTGTAAACTTTACATTTTAGTCACTAAATTGAATTTATAATCCTTTTAATTCAGATCTTTAATTTTAATTTCATTTATTTTAGTCCTTTATATTAAAGTAATATATTTAGGATAAATAACAGATTTAATCCCTTAATTTTAATAAATAATATTTTAGTCCCTAGTTTATACTTTTAATTTATTTTAATCTTATATTCGAATTTTAAATAAGTTTATTTTAGTCACTAAATTATTAAATAAGAAAATAACATGTTTAATCCCTGTAATTTTGATTAATTATGAATTAGGTTTTTAATTTTAATTTTACTATAATTTAGTCATTTATTTTAAATTTTTTTATTATTATTTTATTGCTTTTAAATATATAGCTTTAATTGTACTTTTATTTTAATTTTATTTGTTTATATATTTAAATATTTTTTATTATGTAGTCATAAATATATATAATAAATAATAATTAATTTTTTTAAATAAATTATTTTAATATTTATTTTTCAATATCGAAGAAAAGGACAGTCTTAATACAACTGGATGTCCTATTCTGGTATTTTAAAATTTAATAATTAATTTTTTAAAATATTATTTAATTTAAATTAATATTTATCAATATCAAAGAAAAGAGCTGTCTTAAGGCACCTAGAAGTCCTTTTCTGATATTTTAAATATTTTTTATAAATTTTGAAATAATAGGATTATAAATTAAATATATTTTGAATTTTTAATATTTTTAATAATAGAGACAATTTATAATTAAAAAGTACCAATTTTGGGCGTTGTAGGGGTGCTAATCCTTCCCTAAACGTAACCGACCACGAATCCCTCTTTATTATTAAAAAAATGAATTTTTGGTTATAAACGCAGATCAGTTCATTTTTTAATTGATGTTTTCTCAAAACTCTTTTAGAAAATAATTTTTAGGTATTCGACCTACCTGACCCAAAAGGCCGATGGCGACTCCCAAATTATTTTCAAAACCATTTATTCACATCAATTTTCCCGCCAAATAAATATTTCATGCCCGGACAAAAACCGGTTACGACAGCTTGGCGACTCCGCTGGGGACCGGTCAAACTTTAAAATCAATTATAAATTGTCTCTATTAATTAAAAATTAAAAGTTCATATATTTAATTTTTAATTCTTTCTTTTCAAAATTTTTATATTTACTTATTATTTTCATAATATTTATATGTTTTATTTTATTTGCAAGTATTTTATTTCATTATTTATTTTTCTGTCAAAGGTTTGAACATTTCTCCTCACACACAACACTTTCATTGCATAACATAAAGCTCTATAATTGAGTTGTCCCTTTTAAGTGGGAGTGAAAGCGACGTCTTCGTGAGAATTTATTCTCCGTGTCAGACCTAGCAAGTAACTTTCGGGGTTCATATGCTCTATGTCTTCGTGAGAATTTATTCTCCGTGTCAGGCATAGAGAAATGTATCCCCTCAAATTGAACTCGATCCACTTTAGTCTGTAATGGACTAGGGTTGAGGGTTAGCAACCCAAAGGGGCACTAACAAGGACAATTCGGGTACCTTTATTCTTAGATCTGAAGCCTGCATATAATAAACCCTAGAAACTCTTCCGATCTGAAGTCATGCCAAAATTTTGTCCAAAATAGGTGTACACACAGGAGAAATGAATTCTAACTTTCTTGTTTATTTATTTTCTTTACTGATTAAATTACATGTATATTTAAATTATTTAAATTTAGAAAAGCATGTTTAAATAAAAATATTTAGGTAAATGTTATTATTAAATTTCTTTATTATGTAAACTAATTCATTTCTTTTTGTGTGTTCTTTATTTTTTTTCTGTTTGCATAGCATCATACAGGATAAAAGGCATTGATCCTTATGTTAATTGTCTCATTGGAAAGCCTTCATCCATGGATAAAAAGTGTTCAAACCAAGTAATTCTAAACTCAGAAGTAAGACAGTGGGCTGAGGATTTACAAAGACAAGAAGGAGACAGTCTGCAGGATGATTATGTATCTGACTTAGCCAGTTATGCTTCAGTTTCGCTAAAAAGAAATGATATGCAAGATTTGCGAAGTATTTGGGAAAGTTGGGATTCAAACAAAAAATTGCAGTTTTATCAGACTTACGGAGACATCCCATATTTGCTCTATGTTGAATGTGATGATGAATTACTCAGAGCCCTAATTCAATTCTGGAATCCAGGGTACAATTGCTTTACTCTCAATAAAGAAGACTTGGTCCCTACTATTGAAGAGTACACAACTTTGTTACATATCGAAGGGGTTTTGGAGAATCGAATTTATTCAAAATCAATTAAAACTCAACCCTTTCGAGTTAAATTAGCAAAGATTGCCGGGGTACGAGAAGAATGGGTGGCATCCCGTACAAAACAAAAAGGCGAAAGCGAAGGCATTGCTTGGACCAACATTAAAGAACTTATTCAGAGTCATCCAGATATTAAAGTACGATTCGATTTATTTGCTCTGGGTATGTATGGTATGGTCATCTTCCCAAAAGTATTGGGATATGTTGAAGCTGCAGTGGTAGATTTGTTTGAACAGCTACAGAAAAAGATTAATCCAGCTTCTGCAATCCTAGCAGAGACCTTCAGATCGTTAAATGCTTGTAGAAAGCTAGGAGGTGGACGATTCTCAGGGTGTACCCAGTTGTTATATGTTTGGATCCGTAGTCATTTCTGGAGGACAGAAAAAGTTTCATACCGACGCTTTAATACGGATTATTCACCATTAAAAGAATTTCTGGAGCAGGAATGGCCGAAAGAAATTAAGAAAGATATGTGGATTAATGCTTTTCGAAATCTGCAAAGCAATGATATTGTTTGGCGAGCCCCGTGGCAAATCCAAAGGGAATTCTTTTACAAATGTGGAGATTACAATTGGATAATGTTGCTCAGATTATGGGGAGGAATTGGATATGCACCACTTCTGGTCATAAGACAGTATGAGGGTCGTCAATTTGTACCTGTCACTGCTGGATTACAGTCGTCTGAATTCCCATTCCACAGCAAAAATTATAAAAGAAATATCATGGAAGCCGTTACAGCTTGGAAAACAACTTTTTGTATCCGAGCTAAAGCAGCAAAAGAAATGTTAACTCCTGATTATGAAGAATGGAGATATGTCAGGAAAAATGAAAATATTCCTCTACCAGATCAAAATGAGGATATCTCTATGGAAGATCGCATTAAGGTGGTTCCATCAGAGATTGAAATCCTGAGAGCTGAGTTTGAAGCAGAAAGAGAAGGCTGGTCGAAAGAATTAGAGCAAATGAGACAAGATAAAGCTATGTTGGGTGTTGACATTGACTTTCATTCATCACAATGTGCAATGTTGAGAAAAGATAAAGAAAAAGTTGAAGATGAATTCAGAGCATTACAGAAAAATTATCAAGAGTTATATAAATCCCGGAAAGCATCAGGATCAAGCCAGGAAACAATACAAATGACCAGAGAATTGAACATCGAGAAAAGTCGAGTTGAACATCTAAAAGGGAAGAATAGCCATCTACTCAAAAGCCTTGAGAAAGGAAAGCAAAAAATGGAAGATTTTGAGGTCGACAGAAGAGAGCGAATTATAAAACACAAGGCTGAACACCGCGAGATCATGAATGAAATGCAAAGAGAAAGGGATCGGGCCAAAGATTTAGAAGAAATGAAGAATGACATCGTTGATAAATTTGAAGGTGAGAAAAATATCATGTTCAAGGGATTTGAATCTGAAATGAACCAGCTGATTGCTGAACTTGAAGTCAGAGGCCAAAAGATGGAAGAATACAATATTGAAAAAGAAAAATGGGAGCTAGAAAGGAAAAATTTCAACACCAGACTTGAGGTAGAGCATGAAGTAGCTAGCAATTGGATGCAAAGATGCAGAAACAAGAATGTTCAAATCCAGAAGCTTAATCAAAGAACGCAAGAAGAACGGACAAAACTTGAAGAAGATCT